AGCTCAGTAATTGGAAATACTAACCAGAATACTGCAGTGAATCCAGAACAAAGATTCAGGTCATCTCCGGAAAATCATCCTAAAGGATATCACCGTATTCTACTACTTGACACTGACACTAAGTAAATGTACACCAAAACACACTAACGAACACTATACGACACGTACACGTACCGACACGAAAAACATCACACCGTTCCGTTTTACTACACGAACAAGACAACAATGGGAATGAAACCAATCAATCAATAGTCCAGGCGCTAAACGGGTTGAGTATGCACTGAAAGTCTGACAAAATTTGACTTTTGATTATTGTTGGGGACATCTAGTAGATGAAAAAAATCGATGATGTCGCATTTCTAGGGTGGTCACAACTCGGGGGGGGAGGGGGGGAAGTTGCGCGGGTCATTGGTTTACGTTTCCGCGTCTAACTCACAAACGGTTAATGATAGAAAGGTGAATTAAGCGTCTATCTACGCCTAAATATATTCTCTTTTAAAAAGGTTATTACAACCTTTCTTCTATCTCTTATACTTTAGGCGCTAATCAACATTTATTGCAAAAAATAAAATTTAAAAATACTTTAAAATAAAATATCGGAAATATTGCGCTTGTTTAGGGCATGTTACAAACTATTTATGGTTAGAAAAACTAACAAGTAGTACAACAACACCAAGTTTAAAGAAATCCGTGCAAAAACGACAGAGCTACGTTGATTTCAGTAAGAGTAAACGTGGAAAATTCGTAGTAGTACCGAGGCGCGCATGGATGGTACACGTAGCCCACAGTCAATATAGGTTTGATGTTGTAAGTAACTATGGGAAAGCTGAACTTTTCTATGCTGTTAGACCATGTTAAGATTATCATTTTCCCGAAAGTCAACACTCCTCCCCCCTTGTGCTTTCCTCTAACCCCCCTTTTTAGATAAATTTACAGCCTCTTAGCAATTAAGCTATAGCTTTAAAACGGGTAAGGATAATAAAGCAATCTTTTATTAATCATTTTGCGTTACGATATTCTACAAAAAGTGTATTTACCATGGTATCCTAAATATTCATAGTTAAAAAATATCATAAACATAAAAAAATATTTTTACGGATTAATTTATGAAACTTTTCTTTGTAGATTTTTTATACGAGGTCGCACAACAAAATGTTTGATAAAAAATTTGGGGTGCATAGTTTAAATTTTAAAATGATACATCGTTATTAACAGTTTGTTTGGATATTGTGGTTATAGATAGTACAGTATATTGATTTTACAGGACTCTGGCTTTTTTGTGCACCGCAACAATGAAAAAATTACGTATATTATGGTTTTTGTATTTGAATTTGCCGCTTTATATAGATTATATTAATGTTATGTAGCTCATTCAGTACATATACAGACTGTAGTGGATACATATGAATGAATATCGTGCATTTGCTGCTGTACGCCAGAGACTCATTTTATTATACAGGGTGTCTCACCTAAAGTGAACCAATAGATAACTTTTTTATTATGAGATATAGAGTTTACTTCTTATGGGACACCACCCTTTATTTTAAGATGTTTTTTTAGTGGTTTCGAATTTTAAAAATATGTTCGCCATTTTCCAATATGGCTGAAAACTTTGTTAGTCCTATGGAATACCCTGTATTTTATGATTGTTTTAGAATGTAAACGCACAATTTTTAAACCTTTTTATTCTTGACATTTTTCTCTAAAGCTACTTGTTTAGGAGTTACATCGAAGAAGAAATGGTTTGTGAGTACATCCTGCATCCTGTAGCTCATAAACGAGTAAGTTTAAGAGCGGAAATACAAAGAATAAACAAGTTTTCAAATCACATATACATTAAAAAAAAACCATAAAATAAATTGTTCCAATATCAAAGTAAGCTAGCATTTTTGAAAATGTTGGCCATTTTTTAAACAACAAAATCAGTATTTTTTAACGTACTTTCTATATTTTTTTGAACGAGGACTTATATGTGACTTATTTATTCTTTGCACTTTCTCTCTCGACTTACTCGTTTATGAGCTACAGGATGCCGAATGTACACCACAAGCATTTCTTTTAGGTATAACACGCTGTAACTCCTAAATGGGGTAGGTTTAGGGAAAAAATGTCACGAATAAAAAATAGCTTTTAAATTCTATAAGAATACTAAAATACAGCGTATTCCATAAGAAATAACAAAGTGGTTGGCCATATTGGAAAATGGTGGATATATATTTTTATTCGTAACCATCCCTAAAAACATTTTTTACAAATAAAAGGGGTCGTCTAATAAAAAGTTAACTCTATGTGGAAAATAAAATTTATGTATGTTCACTATGTAATCTCAACCGGGATGAAACGTGTACCCTTTTATAGCAGAATGTTCAATTTAAAAAAAGGTACGTCAATTTTGGTCTAACAAGTTATATTTAAATGAATATGAGTTTTTTTTTAATTTTTAAATGGCAAAGATTGGCGGGCACTTGGAAATTATCTTAAAGAGGCGTGGAGTAAAGGGTGGGAATTGATAATGGAGTATAATTATTAAATTTAAGAATTGAGACATCAATACAAAAATTGGAAAAATCTATGTAATTTAAAAAATTTATAAAATATTGTTTGTTAAGTAACTATCAAAGTAAATTGTAAAAGTAACAGGTTTGTTTTATGAATTATTAACTGTTTGTAGGAAAAATCCAGATTCTCAGTAGGCTACATTTAAATTTTATTATTCATTCAATTGATATCTGATCTATTAGTATGTAGTGCTATTTGCGTATGTTCTGTAGTGGAAATCAGTTTATTTTAAGAATAATTGTATGTGATTCATGGAATTTTTTAAAACTGTTTTAAAATATTTTAAAATCAGTGTGTCTAACACAAAACAGACGGTCTTTGATCATTGTTTTTTTTTTCATTTAAATAAAAAACACTGTATTGATATTTTATTACAATGAACACATTTTCATCTTCTTCTTCTTCAGAAATCTATAATAATTTTTTTTAAATATTTATTCATCTAATAATTCTTTTTGTAGAATATCGTAACGCAAAATGATTAATAAAATATTGCATTATTATCCTTACCCGTTTTAAAGTTATAGCTTAGTTGCTAAGAGGCTGTAAATTTATCTAAAAAGGGGGGTTAGAAGAAAGCACAAGGGGGGAGGAGTGTTGACTTCCGGGAAAATGATAATCTTAACATGGTCTAACAGCATAGAAAAGTTCAGCTTTCCCATAGTTACTTACAACATCAAACCTATATTGACTGTGGGCTACGTGTACCATCCATGCGCGCCTCGGTACTACTACGAATTTTCCACGTTTACTCTTATTGAAATCAACGTAGCTCTGTTGTTTTTGCACGGATTTCTTTAAACTTGGTGTTGTTGTACTACTTGTTAGTTTTTCTAACCATAAATAGTTTGTAACATGCCCTAAACAAGCGCAATATTTCCGATATTTTATTTTAAAGTATTTTTAAATTTTATTTTTTGCAATAAATGTTGATTAGCGCCTAAAGTATAAGAGATAGAAGAAAGGTTGTAATAACCTTTTTAAAAGAGAATATATTTAGGCGTAGATAGACGCTTAATTCACCTTTCTATCATTAACCGTTTGTGAGTTAGACGCGGAAACGTAAACCAATGACCCGCGCAACTTCCCCCCCTCCCCCCCGAGTTGTGACCACCCTAGAAATGCGACATCATCGATTTTTTTCATCTACTAGATGTCCCCAACAATAATCAAAAGTCAAATTTTGTCAGACTTTCAGTGCATACTCAACCCGTTTAGCGCCTGGACTACAAGAAGAAACAAGCACATCATGCGAGTAGATGACTTGCTAATCAGCTGTTTGGAATAGGGGTTTTTGGTTAGAATACTAGCCAACATTTTAATACGCTACAACATACTGAATAATATATTATTGTTAAGATACATACTGTATTAATCAAGATAACATAACAACAATTAGATGTCGTGCGGAAATAGTTATTTGTGTAACTAGTGAGCGCCGCGAACTGGCACTTTGCGCTCGCGTTACACATTATATTTGTCCTATTCCTACAGTAACTTTTAAGCATAATTAGTCTTAGAAACCCTGAACACAACACGTTTTAGGTTAGGTTAAATCCAAGCGTTGAACGAAAATAACGAAACAGCCAACAGGTTGAGTCGTAGTTCGTAGTGTTCGTAGTATTAAATAAAATTCAAAAGGCTGTGAAACGCTACACCAGCTGATTGTAGTCAAGGCAGTGTTGCCAACTTTCCTGAAAGCGAACACGTATTACCTGTTTAATAAATGCACACTGTGTTGTGTTGTTTAGTTGGAATACTGTATGAAAAATATATTGTTGTTAATAATTTAATTAAGGACAGTTATACAGGGTGTCCCGGAACTCTCTACCAATATTTTAGGGTATTGCTCCTGGGTAAGAAACATACCTAAATTTCATATTTAAATTGTCCGGAAGTCCTTAGTTACTCACACAACCGCCATTTTGTTTTTTCAGTTATTATTTTTTTGTAAAGAATGATTAAACATACGAAATAGAAACTTTGCACAAACATTTATAACAACTAGACAAAGCTCCCAAAAAAGTTTGACGATTTTTCATAATCATAAAACAAAATGGCGGCCATTTAAAATTTTGTTTCTTGAATAACTCGAAAACCGTTGATTTTACAAAAAAAAAATACAAGAATAACTTTTTTAGGTTATTTAAATACAAATCGATTGACACCTTATTTTTTTAAGATTGGACGAGTATTAACTGAGATATGGCAATTTTAGTGATACGTGACCGCTGGAGGTTAGTTGCAGCGCATGCTGAAGGCGTCACACATCACTAAAATTACCATATTTTAGTTACCTAATACTCGTCCAATCTTAAAAACAAGAACAAAACAGAATATATCAACGATCCTGGTAAGTTTCAAGAAATATTTTGCAAATACAACACTGAATAGAAATGTGAACAGGATTACAAATTATTAGGCAAATATTTGATCAGGTCCATCAAACTCTTTTTATTATTATAACAATCTGTATGTGTACATACAAATGTCAGTTGTATAACAACCAAGAAGTGAATATATTAATATATATAATCATATATAATACTATAAACTAACTGTTAAGGCTATACATCAGTTACTTAATTGCGGATGCTTTTACAAAATACGCTTTTGGCACAGAATCAATAAAAGGCACAACAAACTTATACGTTTGATAACTCATCAGACACAGTATAAAGAGAAACTATACGAACCGCAGAAAACAAACTACAAATATGAAAGTACTAAAATATGCTGAGGGAAACTATCAAGAATTCCTATAGAATTCATTCCGAAATGTTCTGAACCTTCAAATATTACCCTTTAGAATATTCAGCCCTTCCGACGGACACTGAAGAGAGGCACTCGATTCTAAGTCTCATGATGAAAGGCACGAGTTCCAGATGCCGCTTAAAACCATCCACAATTAAGTTAGGTTAAGAAATAAGAAAATCGTAAAATAATATTAGCTACACACTGTAGACTATCGCTATGTACATTCGCTTTGTACTACGCAAGATCAGTGATGTGATCCGAGAACGTGTGATGATGGCAACTAACAACTTATCGATAATATTAACACTCTACAGTTATTATCGATTAATTTTAAAACTCACCACGCTAAACCGATGGTCGATGGCTACAAAGGCACGATAGGTTCAAAAGTCCGAGTGGTTACGATTATCGGTGAGTGGATGTGAAACTTTGGCTCGGTTCAAATACGTGTTCAGCTGAATTATAAGTTTTAAGATTATGGTAATAATAATTTTACTTAACAATGGATACAAAAAAATGTTAGTTGTGTAGAAGATTTTAAGTTTGGTGTTTGTAAGCATAATATTTTTTTATTATTTTGTTCTGAAATCACCTTAGTTAAACAAACTACAAATTTTCAAATAATTTCAGTGACAAATTTCAAAGATATATGTTTACTCAGAGAACACAAAGACAGGGCAGATTTTGGAGGGGTAGCATTATGATAACAACTTTTAAGGGTTGTAAAATAAAATTTGTTAAGGGATAGGTCGGTAAAATTTGTTACAGTTATTTAACCATAAGAAAAGAACAATTTTGCTTAGGCTACAGCCACTTTTGGTGACTTGATCACCGCTACCTGGTTGCCTTTACTCTTTACTTTACTTTTATATGCAAACTGGTGTAAGGAGGGGTCACACTAGTGACTTCTAGCTATAGGAATGAGAAGGACCTGTTAAATTTTTTTTACATCCAAAAAGTAAAAAAAAAAACACGGATTTGTGTGCATCCCCTTCTTGTACTTAGTTTGAAGCGTCATTATTTTCACAACTTATCATTCTTTAAGGATGGCACATTTTCGAATTGCTATTTTTTTGTATTTTTTTCGATGAATATAGCCAGGATTGACAATTTCCTGACAAGACTCTGAATTCCTATTGCACCAACGATACTTGCTTATTTAATTTATGAAAACCTATGAATTAACATACTTTTCAACTGCAAAGTACCACCAATCCAAAACTAAAGAAGATATATCTTGGTACAGTAAAACAGTCCAGGATCTGGTTGTGAGGGAGCGAATTGTTGCCTAGGGTAATCGATTGCCGTTGGATAACAGGGGGAGCTTATTTGTTGCCGCAAAGTTAGGGGTTGTATTTTGACCTGAAAATGCTCCCGAACACATTAGTTTTTCTAATTCAGGTTGCTTTACGTGGCCACCATCATATATTTAATGCTATCAGTTTTCATTCATCGTAGCAACGACCGAGTCTCCACATTTAATTGAATACCGAACCAGAGTTTCTTACACCCACACACCTCTAGTTACAATATAAACATGGGTGAGGTAAGCGTTCGCTGTGGTAGGTGGGTATCGACCATCGACCGACACTCGTACAATTTAAGCGTATTAAATAGCTGGTCACGCTTAGACAATCTACTGCTTAACTGTTGGAAACACAAAAACATTGACAAACGGTTTGGAATAAAAATAGTAAATCACCTCTGGATAAAACAACGTACAATGTCTTTGGTCACATTTTGGGCGTAAAAAAGTGTCAATCTATTCATCATTTAGAGTGAGGACTATTTTTACATGAGAAAATACAACTTGTAACTTAAACATGATTAAATCAAATTGTGATCACTTCCCAAATCTAGAGTTGCTTCAAAACAATTTATGTCAAGCAACATGATAAAAACAAGAACATTTCTCACAGAGACTTACGAAAACAAATACAAACAACAATGGTTGATACAATTATTACAATCACATTTTAAACCATTTCCAAAATATATTTAATTCTTTTTTTGTGTGTAATTTATGAAAAAGAATGGAAAAATAACTTAAAAAGACTTCTTAATAATTAAAAAATTACTAAAAACCGTTAAAATAGTTATGGCATTTATATCAAACCAATTGGTAGATTTGTTAAGGATTGCAAAAATGAATCCATATAAATTAGTTATAAAGTTAAAATTAATTTAAGATAACACTATTAATGCCAACCCAAGCACGTAATTTAAAATTTAAGGCAATGCTTTGATTATTTGTACCTAGATTAAAAAAATTCAAATATCAAATGTTATTTCCCACTGGAACTTATTCCTTCTTTCCAAAAACCCTACATTGTTATGAAACTTAAGTGTAAGCTAAAAAAAATAAAAAACACTTAATTTAGATAGAGTTACCTAAAGTTGAACAATGCTTTGAGCAAGCGAATCAACAACTATTATGTACAAAATATACATAAATGGAAATGATAATTAACGGTTCTTATAAATAAAATGAGTCAAATATACAGTCTTACATACATTAGTGCTGATACAGAAACAGCTGATGAAAACAGCAACACTAACGCCTCTAGTAAAGCTAGTCCTAATGAAAATGTTCAAAAATGTGTAAGTACTAGTATATACAATGTATACACGCTACAAAAATGTTATTGACAGAAATATATCGTTTCAAGTAAACTTTTGATAGAACAAATATAAACAATAAAAACATATATGCACGTGACAGAACAAAAACAAATACAAGATGATGACAACACTTACTAAATACTACAACATTTGCTTTACTATGACATTTGACCAATGAAAATTTGAAATAGAAAGTTGTAAACTAAATATAATAGAATTTAGATTAACCAATTACATATTTTTTTCTTCAAATGGTGGTTAAGCTAACCATCAAATCTATATTTGTGGTGCCATTTAACCATATAACTGGATGTGAATGCTTTACTCTGTTTTAAATCAATTTTACCCTCTTCTTACTAAAGATTATTTTTGAGAATACCTTTAGAATAACTTATCACCTATCTTTAGATTTGCCATCAAGCATCATCATTCAACTATCTACTTTATACCTCAACCAAAAATTTGATTTGTTTTACATTCTTACTTCAATTAAAGATGTATTTCACCAGTTCTTATTACATCATCCTATATGTTTTTGTCTAAGAACCTTAAGTGAAATATCAGATTTCATCTGAGCTATTGATTATTAAGATCGGATGTACCTGAAGCATGTTGCTGAATCACGAATCAACAATAATTATAATTATGTTAGAACTTATCTGTAATCAATGATATGTAACTCCATTTTTAAGTTGATTATATATGTCATGGTCTTAAAATACTCCTCGAAATAAAGGCTTTAATTTGAAGTTTTAATTGATACATTTTTTATACCTAAACATTGTGATTAGACTCACAAGTATTTTAATATTTCTTCATGTTAAGTAAGAGTTTGAAGTAACGTACATACCAATAAAGTTTTAATCAAGTAAGTGATTCTTGTATCATCCTACTGAGTAAAGCAAATGTTGTAACTGATTAGAGTGAATTCTAGAAAATAATAGCAAAAAGGTGAATTAAATTTGGCATTAAAACAAGATTCCTCGATCTACCATGAAAACTAAGAGAAACACCAATCGTGACGAAAGAAAGGAGAGAAGAGGTGTTTTACGAGCATTACAGCGCAGAGCTAAATATATTGTCGAGGAAGAGGTCATTGAAGCCCTCATCATTGTCGAGAGTGAAGGAGTAGTCAGACTCGGAGAGAGGAGGTTCTAGTTGCAGGAACGGCTCAGAGGTGAGACAAGAAAGGTCGTCCGCTTCTAGAACATCACGGCAAACACATCATAACAGTCCTTACAATACTCAAACATTTTATTTAGTTTTTTTTTTGCAGGAAAACACTTGGCTGAGGGATGTATTCAGGATGAGGGAAAGGATTAACAACTAGCTTACCCAAGAAAGTAGTTCCAGGCATTTGAAAGCACAGTAATTATAGTCCGTAAGGTAGGTGAAGGAATCTAAGGGGTTACAGTCCTCACACACAGAGACACACCTACACACACACCGTGTGGTAGGTAGGGCCCTGCTTGCGAGTGCGCGTGCGTTGGTGGAAGGGACGTTAATCCCTCAGAGTCCTTCACCAACCTCACGGACTATAGGCTATCTTTGTCATTCATAATTGGCGAAAATTTAGAAGGCAAAGCCTGGCGAGGTTGTTGGTTGTCGAACATTCACAGACCAAAAAAATCACAACTTGTCTTTAAAAAACACAAAAATATTATCCTGAATAAAAAAAAATACCTTTTCATGATCATGAAGTCATATTAAAAAAATGTTCAAAAATGTCCATTTTTAACCTCTTGTACCTCTGTACAGCCCCCTACTCTCAACGTGTGGTTTGTCAGAACTCCTTGTGTTCTTAATCAGTGGTTCGTATTGACACACACCGTGAGAACAGCTCGTCAGATGTTTGTGCAGCAGTTCGAGGTGGTTCGTTATGGCCCCTTCCCGTCCGAGGTCGGTAAACCTTCAAAGGCCTATGGTTTGTGTAGTTTCGGTTCAGGCTGACTCGGTGCACTGTTCTCATGGCCTGTTCAGTTTTTGAGCTGAGCGCTAGTACATTGAATAAGGTGTGTGGTATCCACAACAAGAAGACCATGGAGACTGAAACAAAGTCTATGGTGTGTGGAAATAAATTCAAGTTTAGCAATTAAACTTCCCTAGTATAAAAAAAGAAATCACAAAACCTATCGGTGACAAAAAGGAATCTTGAATTTGAAGGCGAAGAAGACTAGTTCAACTGGAAGTGCAACATTTCAAGCATACAAGCCTGAATGGTTCGCCTTCAGTAAAATGGTGTCCTCGTTGCATTCACTATACACATTGGGGGATACTAAAGGATAATGGCCCAGCCTATCTCTCCAAGCCCGCCAGTGGCTCTTGAAATCTACAAGCCACCACGTTCCTTGAGAACAGCTGAGTTCACAAAGGTTCGCTACTTCTCTGATAACTCAAAATCCGTTGACTGATCAAGATCAGCGCTTTCAACCTTCCACGTATTGTGAGAACGAGGCTTAACCATTCACTTCAGTTAGGTTACTAGAGGTCCCACTTATAGTACATTATTTGTGTGAATAACGTATTTTGTGCTAAGCCGCAAAGTTTTTTAAGTATTTAAAAAAAAACAAAAAAAACTAAAAATCTTTTATTCACCTCACCAACCTGAGCTCAAAATGGTGTACCTTTTTGCTGAACATACAAGTAAATTCCTACATTCCTACCTTCAAGAATTCCCCTGGCAGACTATCATTTAGAGTCAGACCTACAAATACTTTCCTCTCACAGAAAAATACTAAGCACAGAAAAAAAAGGAGAGGGACATTAAGTATTGAGAGGAACAGCCATTATGCTGATAGGGAGAAAAAGCTGATGCCTTCACAAAATAATCCATCGCAGATGAATCCAAAGTAAGTCTGAAAGTAGAAAAAAATCAGAAAACAAATAGCGGTTCAACATAATATTCCAAGCTAACGATTCCAATAGAAAACGTTCTAAGCCAAATAAACATGCACATGCACGGATCAAGCCACAAAACACAAAAGGTACTCGCTTTAGCTTTAGATACTGAAGTAGACATCCCACCTGTAGCCAATTTTGATTAGAGAAAATTTGAACAAATCATTCACAGAGTGAGTTTTCAAATATTCATTTACCATCTTAGTTTTTGACGCCAAGGTTTTTAATATCTTGCAAAAGGTTTTATAGTTCAAAAGTTGACCTTTCAGTATGCTTAACAAGTTCGGGTACTCAACATAAATCAGCTACTTACATCAGCGCACACTCTAGTGATTCAACTCAACTACTCTCGCTTTTGTTCTACAACTGGCTACGAGGGAATGGCACGTCTAGTTTTATGCATAAACCACTACTAGTCACAACAAGACTACGAGCACACATTAGTTGGATGGACTTACCACAGACAGGCCGGCACGAGACACGTAGCATGCGGCTAGCGATGTAGCGTTAACATGCGGCCAAGCGTTATAGGGCACGAGCTAAGCTGAATGCTATGGTGCTACAACGCTAAGATGCTGAGGCACTCAAGCATCCAGCCCAGCGCGCGCCCACCGCGACGCATGCTGACGTAGACCTACATGTTAGACACAACCCGACGGAAACAGTTACCCAGCTGGTGGAGAGATAAATGATTGGTTATTGTTATTACCAATATCATCAATTGAGAGCAAGTCCCTACAGTGTATTTTAGCAGGTACACGTGAAGTATGTCTAGATCAGAATGGTTATTACTCCTCACAATTTTATAATAATATTTTATAATTTTATTTTGTTAATTTTAACCGATTGAAATTGCCTTGTTTAGCTTTGATACAGGTAGCAGTTTCTTTTACAATCATTTTTAACAAAAGCCATTTGATCAAAGGACGGCTGGGTCAAGTTTCAAGCCATAAAAAAGTACAGTACCTCACTTTGCTGTTTCTCAGGATCGAACCAGAAACCGTTTGAAGGTTAGATGAGCACCATGAAAATTTAAGTTAGGGCTGGGAGTGTTAAACAGCATTTGTTTATTTTGTAGTTTGTAGTTTGATGATCAGGAATGTTAATATCAATAGGAATTTTCAAAACTTGAATTTTTAAGTTGAATTTAATTTGGAGCTCATTTTTAGCTACTTTAGATAATTAAAATAAAAAAAAAACTAAACCAAGGATTAAGTATTACCTCTCTACCAGCAGAGTACAAGCCATTTCACATAAAATAAACACCAGTTAAATTTATACATAAAAATAACTAACAGGTTAATAACATACAGCACCACAAGCATATGAATGGTAACACTGATTAGATGAGAAATAACAACAAGCGATTAATTAGTAAGGAGTTATTAAATTGTGACTTGCGAAACTGTATAATGCCTTAGAAATAATTTCAAATTTGCCCAGATGTTAAAAACCAACAGATGATTTTAGTATAGACTTATAACTATTTCCTTAACTTTTGATAGAATAATACTTTGTGTAACAGCACCCTGCTTAACCAAAACCGGGTAAACCCAAAAATCATTATATAAAGGTCAAATCAATTTCAAGAACAACCGTGGCGCTTCTAGTTGGCCCAGCTTGGTCCGAGTTATTCAAAATAAATTAAATTGAGATAACAGTTGTAGGCCTGCATTTTAAGACAACAGTAATTAAAATAATGTAAAAACCTACTTTTATAGATCTCTATGGAACAAGATAGCGTTACAATTCAAACTATAGAAAAATGGGTTATCCATAACAGCCTTTCCCCTTTTATTTTTGATAGTCAAAGCTTTTTAATGTGTGTGAAAATTGATAATAAAAAAAAAATGGTTTAATAGTTTCATTAGTTTTCATACAAGAAATCAAGTACAATGTGCATTTAAGATTTTCTTTTTCAATATACACTTTCAGTTTAATAACCAAATATTCAATATTCAACGCAACAAACAATACATTTTTTGTATATCTTGATTTTCTACTTGAGATTAAATATTTATTAAATATACTTTAAAAAATTTAATGGCAAAAGCTAACATACTGGTAAATTAAATGTAATGTAATGAAAAGTAATGTCAGTATTATTATTGTTAAAAGCTATGTAAAATACATAAGAAACATTGTATTTGCAATTTTAAGTAGCAATTGATTTAAGGTTAATGGTTGTGTTAACATTAACACATCTTTTATACTTGTTTTTTACAAATTGTGAAAATGAACTCGACAAAGTTGTTTTGTTGCTTATTCTAGCATTACTGTTTACTGGAAATTGGTTACCAATGTTTATATCAGTTGTTGAAAGCATAGTCTTATTATCAACATTACTTATATTTCTAGTATCGAAAAAGTGTTTTTTTTTTCATTCTGTTTGTCACTTTTACACAGTTTCCATTGAACATAAAAATTGGTATTTGCATCGTTGAGTGTCCAACTACAAGAACCAATCAATTCACATGTTTATTTATTTTTTTAAACAAAGACAAAATATTGAAGTATGGCACACTGTGCCGAAACTAGATTTATTAATTCATACATTGGTCATAAAACGATTATTTTACCAGTTAGTTTACAGTTTACACAGTTATTTTACAAACCAACATTTTACTAGACTGACTTTACATGTTTAATTTAACATGGTATGGTAACAATAACATTGGTTAGAATACATTAACTTTAGTATAATACTTATTTAAACTTATTCCATGATTCTGTAACCAAAAAAGTAACATCTTTGTATACTTTTGATTTAGACATATTTTTTAGTCTCATAAGCTAAGTCTGCCATTTGCAATCTAAAAACCAACGTCATCAAGTTTAAAATTAAAAGTGGCCATAGAGAGATAAGTGATGGTACACAACATGTGGTTATTAAGTTGACTTACTGGATTAAAAGTGAGATTTGAATTGAAAGATGCTTGAACTTAAAAAAAGTATCCCATTAAATGAGCAAAACTTTTGTAAGACTAAGGTTTGTCAGTGTTGGACTTCATGCTAATTACATAAGTATACACATGTGTCAATTTTATCACTGAATCATGGACATATTTAGAAAGTATCTTTATGAATTCTTAGCAACTAAAAGCTTAAGGCCAGTTCACACATGGCGACTAAATCGCCACAACTTAGTCCCCACTACTATTAGTCGCAGCTACTACTTCCCAGCAAAATATATAATCTGAGTTCATACTTCACGATTTGTAGCGGCTAGTAGTTAAGACAAATTTGTTTGTGTGTTAATATTTGTGCTGTGAAAAATGTCTGTAGGAATAAAGCGAGAGACTTT